ATTTAATGAGACAAAAATAGATTATTGTCAGCACCCCCCCCCCCCCCTCTATATATGCTCTATTGATTACTGCCCTCATAATAATGCATGTGGTCTTTTCTTCCTCCCCTCGTATGTACGCTGGACTGATTAACTCATGTCCATACACAAATGTAAAAATGACAGTTGGGCACAGCGACTTCGTGGAGTGTTGTGGTCACAGTGAGGTTGCAAGGTTTGTAAGCGATGCTGTGCTGTCCTGGACTGCCAACAAAAACTACTAGAAAATGTTCTGGAAAGGTCCTGGAAAACAATTTCTTAAAAAGAGTGGGAACCCTGATGTCTGTATTGAGCCTTACACTAACGCTTTGCTCACTGCCCGTACCTGGTAGTGATGCAAATGAACATGAATAGATTATGCGGATATGAACAAATAATCCAAACAGATACAGTAAGTAACTCTTACACCTGAGTGTCATTACAAATGAGCTCTGTATCTGGATATTAAACGATCCAATCTTGCAAGCAACAAGGAAGCAGATGTGATTGTCATTATGTAAGTATTAAAAAGACAGATTTTTAAATAGTTTGGTCTGCAGAGGAGCAGAGATTTAAAAGAGTAACACTGATGTAGTTGATGACTCAAAGAAGCTCTCAACTTTAGGAAGCAGATTTGATTTCTCTGTTTTGTAGTCAACTACTAACTGTGAGTCAATCAGTCAAGCTTTAGCATTTTTTAATAACAGACACCAGCCTAACATTCATCTAGGCCTCCTCCCATTATATACACAACCTCCACTTTTTTAAGTTGAGCTAAAATTGAACTTATAACTTTATATTATTTTGGTTAGAGTCATGTATTAAAATCATCAAATGTTTGTAAAAGATCATATTTTACTTCAGTAACTAGTAATTATGGCTGCCAAATAAATATTGTGAAGCATAATGTAGCATAAAATAGAAAATATAAGCACTTTGAAATTGCACTTGAGTGAATGTATTTTCCACCACTGCTGATTGTTTATAAGAAAACTCCACAGATTAGATTAAAGTTTGAATGAAGGGTAGATTGAAAAGCCTACATACACACTGTAGATGTATGGAATTTGAACTAGGGGAGGCTATTCCATTCTGGTGTAGTGTTTATGAGCTACAGTTCATTCATCCAGATCTCCAGTCACATCTCCTGACCTCTTGGTCTCCCTGTCTCATCCTCTGATAGGTGGATGACCTTAAGGCCAAGCTGGCTGCTCAAGAAGTGGAACTCAAGCAGAAGAACGAGGACGCTGACAAGCTGATCCAGGCAAGAACACGTTTTTGTTTTCTTTTTTAAAGTCTGTTTTTTTGGATTTCTAAGGACAGGTTGTGCATGCATGACAATGGCCACACTCCATGTAACACACAGAGGCTAGATAAAGTAATGTTCATTTTAAGCACAGCACTAGGACTGAAACATATTTACAGTTATGATACAACAAGCAGCAAGCAAAAAAGGAAAAATCAAAAAAAAAATTGGAATAATTGATATTATTCAGGAAATAGAAAAATCTAGCATAGGCAACAACAGTTACACAAAGTTATGTGAATGTGATAGGCCATGATTGAGTGTTTTCAGGAAGACATTGTCCTTATTGGCAAGTTTATATAAGGCCTAACTTGGGGCTGGACTCAGATTTCCATTGTAGAGTGAGATGGCCTGGGCAATGTGATTCCAGGCAAGAACATGTTGCATATGAGGAGACATTAACATCAATCAAATGTTGGTATTTTCTCACTTACAGTACCTCTAGGGGTATCTAGCCATGCAGATGGTTTGGTTTCATTTGCTCAGATATGTCTCTGAGATCTCCACATTGACCCCAGTAGAATGGAGCTGAGTGGGATTTCTCTTGTGGTGCTCAAAGAAATGAAAAATTACATCTAAAAAATCCAGCACCAGCTTGTCCTTCCAGGAACAAAATGTCCCCTTTACTCTGGATAATCCACAGATGGATTCCTGGTGTTGGGGGTGGTGGTAGAAACTGCTCACTACAGCGTGAGAAATTCAGAGAAAGCTGGACTTAAACCTCTGATCTTTTTCATCTTCTCTTATCTTCTGTTATGGATTGATCTCACATAGGTCAGACGGGGGAACAACAATGTTTTTCTGGATATTACCTCCATGTCAAACTTTTCTAGCAGCCACTCAGGGTTTGTCAGCATTTAAAGTTGCCTAAAGCAGATGTTTAATAGCATATTAAGTCACTTTTTGTAAATGTGACTTGTTTGGAAGGTTATTTTAATTTGCTTTGTAAAACTGTACCACGAACTGAGCTTTCACCATTAAAGTGGCAGTAGGTAGCTTTTATAGAACTAACCTTTTGTCATATTTGCTGAAATTTTCATTGTGTCTTTTGAGCAGTACATGAGACAGATAGCCTGTGAAAAAATCGGGCCCCTCTGACTCCTCCTAGTGCTTTTCACAGATTATCTGTCTCATGTTCTACTGTCAGGATATAGTGAAAATGTCAGCAAAAAATATTTTTATAATGATTACCTACTGCAGCTTTAACATCAGCAATATATCATTTGTGCTGTCCCCAGGTGGTTGGGATAGAAACTGAGAAGGTGTCCAAGGAGAAGGCAGTAGCTGACGAGGAAGAGGAAAAGGTGGCAGCCATTGCTGTTGTGGTCAGTGGCAAACAGAGAGACTGCGAGGAAGACTTAGCCAAAGCTGAACCAGCTCTCCTAGCTGCTCAGGATGCCCTTAACACTCTCAATAAGGTCAGTTACTCTCATAAACCACTCTGTGTCTTATTGATTTGCTCTGTCATACTCTTCTCCTTTAGTTTTCTTCTCTTTTAAGAGTGGTTGTGTCCTTTTTCTCTTTGTTTGATTTAGTTTTGCCAGCTTCAGTGAAATAAGTTATGTCCACACAGGCCTTGAACTGTATAAAAGATTATTGAATCACAAGATTTAGCCGGGTCTTTGCTAAAATAATATCTTCTCTATGTTCTGCAGGCATTTAACTTCATCCTCACATCCCGTGTAGGTTTATGAGCAGCCTTGGGGATTTTCAAAAACACCCTCTGTGTTTAAAAGGTGCTCTCTGTTCAAACAAGCAGAACCGACAGTTCAATCACTGCTTAGAGCTCTCTAAAGATGCCCTAATTAGAATTCTCTGTTGTCTTCTCAAAGTCAGCACAGGTTCTTCTTCCTTTATTCTAATCCTTTCCCTTTTCTCTCTCTTTTCCCCTCAGTAGACCACAGAGATATGCAGTTGTTCAAACTCAATTAAATCGTAGCTTCTATTATTCCCTCTATCTCGCCTACTTCAGAACAACTTGACAGAGTTGAAGTCATTCGGCTCTCCGGTGGCGGCGGTGACCAACGTCACGGCGGCCGTCATGGTCCTGACAGCACCGGGTGGCAAAGTCCCAAAGGATCGTAGCTGGAAGGCCGCAAAGGTGATGATGGCCAAAGTGGACGCGTTCCTGGACTGTCTGATAAACTTCAACAAGGAGAACATCCCAGAGACTTGTCTGAAAGCTATTCAGCCTTACCTGCAGGTGAGCCTTTCAATTAGCCCCGATTCATTAAAATCAACGCTAACAGCGCACAGTGTGCATTGTCTGCCGCTTGGCAAGTTTAACTAATAGGTCATAAATTTAGCAGGGGCGTGACTACAATGACAGTGGCACATTATGGCTGCCGAGTGTCCAAATGACAGCCAGAGAAAATCAACCGGTTAATTAAGTGTTACAAATTTAACAGCCGCCCTGATTATGAAGTTCAATGGAGCGCATAGTTGGTAAGTCGGTGAATTTAAAGTGAATTTTGGCTTTACCTGCTGCACCGTGTGCACCACACTGATCCAGTTTCCAGACCATTGATCTAACATGATTTTATATATTTCTTTTAAAACAGACCTTTAATATTTAATGGTAGTGGTCAAAAACAAATGTTAAAACATTTATGAAGAAGTTAAGAAGAAAAGTAAACCGTGACTTTAAGAATACTGGAAAATTTGTTTATTAAATTTCTAAATATACATTTTTAAGAGTTTAGGCACACATAATTCACTAGAATCAGTGACACTGACAGCACAAGAGACTGTTAACAAATATGACAATTTTAACATCTGATAAAATCCAATTTAGAGCACTAAAGGCGCATATTGAGACCCTAAAGGCAGTGAAACTTCTCATGTATGGGGACTCTGACTTGCAGACATGGGGTCCGCAGTTGACTAATTATTTTTATATGGAAGAACAAATGTCAGAAAGGCAGATTCTGGTCTGAAAAGTATTATTGCGTTCTGCCGCTGCAGAACATTAAAGCAATACTTTCAGAGCCCTGATGATGCGTCTTTTCAATCTCCCCCAGGATCCAGAGTTCCAGCCAGAGCTGGTGGCCTCCAAGTCGAACGCGGCAGCCGGCCTGTGCTCCTGGGTTTTGAACATCGTCAAGTTCTACGAGGTTTACTGCGAGGTGGAGCCCAAGCGTCAGGCTCTGAGCAAGGCCAACGCAGAGCTGGCTGCTGCACAGGAGAAGCTCTCCGCCATCAAGAGCAAGATCAATGTAAGCCACTGTATTGGACTGACGACACAGGAAATGAAAAGTTTATTTGCTATATGCCAAGTATCTGTTTCAAAAGAAGGCAATTTCAATATCTAAAATCCAGAGGATATATTCTATGAAATTGCATTACCATTTTATTAAAGAAAAGACTTACTGTTCTTTGAAGTCTTGTTTTCCAGTCATTTCTTTGACACAGAAACGCACTGACACAAACACTAAAGTGTCTTAAAACTTTAGTTGTTGGGCTGACTTCTGTACAAAATAGAATGTGGGCTGAGAAATGACTTATGAAAGCACCTAGCCATAAAAGATTCCTGAGACATCAGCGTGGATCAACTATTATTATCAAACCCAGAAGATATGCAGCATAATAAGAATTTGATGCTACAGAAATAAAACAAAAACAAGAACCAGAGGCTATAAGCTGGAGAAAAAATTCAGGATATGAATTATTTTATCAAGGCTTGAGTGACAGTTGACACATGAGCTCTGTCAGTAATGATATACCACCAGCATTTCATCAATACAAAGCTGGTGTAAGTGCTATTAAAGGCTTTTACTGTTCATTAATCTAAAACCAAATCCATCAACCTAAAAACCCTATTGATAAAAGCAGCTGTAAATAATTGTTTCTCAGTGGCGTTTGACATTCAGCACATCGGAGCGCCAGAGAGAGGCCCCAGCAGAACACGGTACCCGGGATGCTGCGGTGGCAGCGGCGGCTGCTTACATCAAACCCTGCAGAGTGCAGAGTGACGACTCTTAATAAGATCCAGCATGACTTCTCGCTGTCATTTTTCAGCCCTCAGTCAGATCGCTTGAGCAGAGAGTGGGTTCGGAGCCAAGGGGAATTAGCAATCCTCAAACTAATCTACTGAACCTGTGTGCCTCTCCACCGATTAATCCTGTTTGTCCTTGTGCTAATTGCTTCCATATGCCAAATAAATCCATAGCGGAGGGAATGATAAGTTTTACCTAAGTTTTCACACACTCTCAAGTTTCTTTCGTGGAGAGACTTTGGCTATCTTTGTTCTTTGTCTTTGAAGATTCTTTATGACCACGCTGTATTTTAACAAGTGCCAATTTTTCTCTATTTCTGTGTGTGTCTCTGTGTGTGTGTGTGTGTGTGTGGCCTATCAGCACCTTAATGAGAACTTGGCCAAGCTGACAGCCAAGTTTGAGAAAGCCACTGCAGACAAGCTCAAGTGCCAGCAGGAAGCAGAGTCAACCGCGCACACCATTTCCCTGGCCAACCGTCTGGTGAGGAGGGCAACAGCGGGGTCACGCAGAGCACACATACACACGCACACACATACACACATGCGCACACACACACACACCAGCTATTATTATCTCTGCTCATTAGTGTGACACTCTTTTTTTAGCTTCACATACAGAGGTGTAAACCTATAAATTATTATTTGGACATGAACAGATAATGCATTCTGATCAGATACAAACTGAATTAGAATTTGTACACTAATATTTGTACACTAATATTTGTCCCCAGTTGTGACCAAATCTTCATCTTCTCAGTCATAACTCAGTCAAATAAAAACACACAGACATCCTGTGCACCTTGCAGGGTGCAAAAATGCTTAGAAAATGCTCAGTATTCATAGAGAAAAAGTGTGCAACTCCTTGCACCCAAAGCAGTCTAACATTTCATGATTAGAACTGTAGAACAAATCTGAGGCACTCAAGAGGGCAGTGATTTTAAAAAGCTTATACTATCTCATGGCTATTTACTCATAGTAACCGTTGAAAAACATGCCTACGCTGTTCAGCCATTCAGGCCTACATCAGGGCAATATATAACATATATCTCTTAGCAAGTAGTCACATGATCTGTGTACAGGTAAAGTCACATGACAGACAATGTTCAGCAGAGAAAACACACATCAAAAATCACACAATATGTTAGTATAAAAACAGACACAGAGAACTATATACACTTTCTTAACATTTCATTTTTCTCTACATCCATGCAATATGCCTCAGATGCCTAAAACACAAAGAACATGAAAAACATGATTGGACAGTTACAGAAAAGGAGAGAAGAGAAGTAACTTTTCATGGCATTTTCAGGCATTTGACATGGTTTATCCACAATAACTTTTCATCAGTCCTCGACAGACTTGCTGTTGATTGCTGGAGAAAGCCCAACTGATATTCAAACCTCATGGTCTGATATTGATGCCTGGCAACTTGCATGACTTGACGGTAGATGGAAAATGCCAAGCTGAAGTTAGGGATTGTCTCAAGAGTGCATGCAAGAATGGCCAAGATGCAAGCATACAAGATGTTGGTCCATAGCTTAGCTCCTTTTTTTCATAGGCACTACAAGCCAATTTGTTTTTTTTTCTTTTTTGTCCATTGAGCAATTATAGCCTGTTTATTCTTCAGTAGTTTTGAATTTAACATCATCTGGGCTTCCTCTCATTACATACACATCCTCCAGTAAGAATAAAATGATGGCCCAGTGGAATTATGACTTTTATATTCCCACTGTTAAAACCTCCTGTTCTATTTCCATTATTCATTTCCACCTGGACCATTAACATTTACACAGCTCCTGTTTACACCCAGTTTAGAGTCCCTTTTTAGCCATGGTTGCAATGGAAAAGTTGGTCCACCACTTCGGTCCAGACTGAAATATCTCAGCAACAGTTTCATGGATTGCAATGGAATTTTGTGCAAATGTCCATGGCTCCCTCAGGATATGTTTTTATCCACCTCAGTGATCCCTTAACCTTTCCTCCAGCAGTATCATCATATCAAAAATCCAATTTGTTTGTGACCAAATATCTGATAAATGAATGACCTACTTTGTCTTCAGGACTAACTAGCAAATACTAGCATGCTAACAAGCTTACTTTACAGTACATTGTGAACATGATAAATATTATATTCCACGCCAAATTACGAATCCTTCCCCCCTACACTGCCTCTGATTGGCTAATAACCTTCATTGATTGGGTTAATTAGGTTTAGGGGTTGAGGAGTGATTGGTTAGGACAAGAATATCAGTGTAAGCTAATCGGAGTAGGGTGGGTCATACCTTCACCATGGTGGGATTCATATATTTGTGTATTCTAACTGCTTAGCATCAGCATGTTAGCATTGTTAATGTGAGATTGTTAGCATGCTATGCCTGAATACAACCTCACAGAGCTGCTAGCATGTCTGTAGACTCTTTGCCTTGTTTCATTTTTTAAAGGTGGGCTTCAAATAGAAATAAATGCTTCATTTGATTAATTTGGGTTATATTGTCCCATAAAAGTTATAAGTTGTAAGCAGCTTTACTTATACCTATATACAGTATGCAGTACAGGGTATAAATAGGTGTAGGAAACAATTCAAACAACTGAAATTGAAGCAATATAGATGATTTATAACTACTGGTATAAATCTGAATGGAGATATTTTGTAGCTTTTCCATCATACCCCTAGTGCACAAACCTGTACTTATACACATGTATACCGAAAAACTATTTTTACCTCTGCTCGTTAGTGTGGCTGTCTCTTTCTTACTGTAGGTGCACAATTCATATGTTTGCACACATACACACACAGACACACACAGACACACATAAATCCCACCATCATCTGCCAGTGTGTAAATCTCTTGCTGACAGCAGCACAACAAAAAGATGAGTGTTGACACTGTTTGTATGATAATCTAAATTATTCAGAGGAAGCTTTCAAAAGGCCTGACAGGAGCAACAAAGGGAAGAGAGGTTGTGCTCATCTGCTAGTCAATCACAAATATCAATGCAAATGCAGTCAACCTGCTGAAGTGTACAGTGTTTCCATGCTGTATGCTGAGAAGTTACAGTCTGTATCAAAGTGCGGGGCCTCGGAAGATATAAGATATTAAGGTGAACTTTATTGATCCCTGAGGGAAATTGCATCATTTCCGCAGTAAAGAGTAGAGGTGTTGGTACGCGAGCTGAGAGGTGATAAAGGATATGAAAACCTAATAAAAAAAGGACTTGAAGGTTGCGAGGCATTGTTGTTCTGGAGATTTCCTGGCGTTCACAAGGCTGCTCATCAACGACTGCAGCCGTAGATCCATTTAGATTTGATTTTAAATGACGCCCATTGGGAGTATGCTATAAATCTGTAAAACAAAATAATGTGCTCTGTCTGCCCCCGCATTTCAGGTGGGAGGTCTGGCATCTGAGAACGTCCGCTGGGCAGAGGCTGTAGAAAACTTTAAGAAACAGGAGAGGACTCTCTGCGGGGACGTCCTCCTCATCACCGCCTTCATCTCCTACCTGGGATACTTCACCAAGCACTACAGGCTTCAGCTCATGGACAACACCTGGAGGCCTTATCTCAGTCAGCTGCAGGTGGGTGGGATTTATACTTGTGCGTTAACTGGTGGTACCTGACACGCACTTTCCCATAAAATGTAAGTGGATGTTGAGAAGAATGATTGCGTGCATTGCTTGTGTTTTTCCAATTTCCAATTTTCACTTTTTCACCTCACTCATTGCTGAGCATGAAGACAACATTAAATTAAACTTTAAATGGTTTTATTGTTTTAGCTCCAGCCAGTGTTGTGCAGGTTTACACTAAACAAGAGATAGCTCAAAGTTAAGTTTACACAGATTAAAATGTCCCAACAAATGTACAGTGCACGTTCATTTTTCCGCTTTTTTAATTGAGTTGCTTTAGGAAATCCTAGGTTCAGTTCGATGAACTGTGCTCTTTTTGCATCATTTCTGCAGGTTATTATAACATTGGAATCACTAAACAAATTAGTGAAACCTCAGAATGCAGCAGTGGTACAGCAAACTTTCCATAGTTACTCTATTATCTAACCAGAGTGGTATAATTCAAACTTAGCATGTACTCATTGATATCTTCTGTAAGGTTCCCATCCCAGTGACCCCCAACCTGGACCCTCTGACCATGCTGACAGACGACGCGGATATTGCGGCGTGGCAGAATGAGGGGCTGCCCGCTGACAGGATGTCCACTGAGAACGCCACCATTCTCACTTCCTGCCAGCGCTGGCCCCTCATGGTGGACCCCCAGCTGCAGGGCATCAAGTGGATCAAAACCAAATACGGCGAAAACCTGCGCATCATCCGCATCGGACAGAGAGGGTAAAAGGCTTTGTGGTGAACAAATATGCACATGGTCATTTTTTGGAGCAGATTTTGATCGAGGGATTCTCCTGTTTTGCCCTGAAAGGTACCTGGACGCCATAGAAAGAGCACTGGCAGCAGGCGATGTGGTTCTGATAGAGAACTTGGAGGAAACGTTGGATCCTGTTCTTGGACCTCTGCTGGGCAGAGAAACCATTAAGAAGGGCAGGTAAAGAGCACTTGAGTCTGTAAAAATACTACCTTTCACACAAGACAAAAAACCCACTAACATCCACACACATCTGGCGTTTGTCTTCAGTGGGAATGGGTGCAGTTGGCATTCATTCCCGGGTCAAAGGACTTTGCAGTAGTTATTTGTATTTTTTGGCTCCAGCTCCAATCAGCAGTGATGGAAACATGACACCCGTGTGGACATGCAAATTTCCTAACCCTTTTCCAACTGGCGCGCGTTGTTCCGAACGTTTGTGGGTAAATAGCCAGAAACATTATTGTTGTTTACAGTTTATGGGCGCAACAGTGATTTTGTTCATATCGTTCAAGATGCAACGCTGGCCGGACAGTGAGGTGACAGAGCTTCTCCTGATTCATCAGTGCTGAGTTTAAAGGGGAGACTGAAGTAAAACATATAGAAACATTACCACTTAACATTGTCACTGGCTTCCATGCTGCTTTCTACTGTTTACTGTTTTTTGCATGTCCTTGATATTGGATACAGAAAGCCTAAGTCGTCTATTGGCAATGGGAAAGGAATAATTTGCCTGTTTTTTTTACCCACATTTAAAGAACCCTCTATAAATGCGTTCATTTTATCTAAAAAGGGAACATTTAGAGCTGGGTATTGAACCATCAGACAGTCTCACCTCTGTTCCATTCATTACTGGCGGTCAGTCTTGTCGTATCATCTTCATCAGCAAATGGTGTTTGCCCATTTGTCATAGAAGTGTAGATGTACAAATTATTTCTCATACATGTCAGCTTAAAATTTCATTCTTGACATTGGAAACTCAACGTTTCAAACAGAGGTTGAGATTGTTTTATTATCGGCTTTTTCCAAGGTCAAGAATGAACTCAGTGTTTTTGGATCTGACTTAAATGTATCTGTTACATCCAGTATCCAAAAAGTATGGAAAGGTGGCATTAAATCCTTGCTCAGATTTCTAATCTTGTGTACTTGTACTTTAATAAGATAGTTCCTGATTTAAAAAATAATTTTGCCAATTTTCTATATCGTAGTGTATTAACAAGTTCATTAAGTCAGTAGAAAAAATCCCATTGGTTAGATAAAGGTTCCAGTTTACCCGTATTCAAAAATACAGGCGGCAAAAGTCAAAACCAGGCAGGCAGATCAAAACAAGCAAACTTATCCAAGAAGTGGTCAGACAGGCCAGAGAAAAGGCTGGAAAGCTAAGATGGAAACACAATAGACAATCTGGCAGGGAATGAGTGGAAATGGGCCAGTACATACACTGCATCACTGATGAGAATGCGGGTGGGCGGGGGAGGTCAGGTGATGGAGATTGGTGTGAAAGGAGTTACTGCAGGGCAGGAGGGAGTGGCTGGCTCTGTAATGACAGAAAAGCTAGTACGTGGGAGGGAAAGCAAAGCAGAGCAGACAAGAGAATGAATGAGTAGAGTTGGCTGGAGTTGTGACACCACTAGTGCATTACATGTCTGGCTGAGACATGAAGTGAATCACTAAAATAGTTTTTGGTGTTTGTTTCTTATTGGCCTTCAGCCTTGTCATTCATATGTTGCAGTTTGTTCTAAAGTTGAAATGATCAATACTGCTTTGGTTTATGGAAATCATAATTGAACCTTAATTAGTATCATTAGTAACACAATTGGTGATTACCCTACTGTTTCATGTCAAAATACCTGACGTGAAAAAGGTCTATGAAGTCTGCCACCGGGAACATGAAGGCTCGATTTACAGCACAGAGGAAGAGGATCATGCTTTTTCTAGGTGGAGCTGATCGTCATAGCGAGGCTATTCCAGAAGCTGGGAAACAGCACACACAGGAGCTTAACGTTGCTTTTGAGAGTGTGCCGCCTTTATTCACTGACAATCTGTGACCTACACTGTACATTTACTGCCAGACTGATACTTCACTGCTCACCTTTTCCTCTGCACCGCTCACATTCACCGCTATGCAAACAAAAAGGAGCTGCTACTCTTAACAGAGGATATGAAGCGATGGTGTTCTTGATACGTCGACCCTTCTTCAACATTACTCAAACCATGTTGTTACTATGCAACGCACATCATTACAGCTGCTCCAAAACTCTATATAAATTGTAACAATTTCAATTTACCTCTTGAGTGAACATGATTCTTTCTTCCAAAATGGTGGTGATCATTTCTTTACTCAGTTAGGCTCTGAGGAAAACAGTTGTCTTTGCTACTGAACAATAATACAAACAATAATGCCACAAGGAGACACTGGAGGGGGGGGGGGGGTTTGAAAAGTTAGGGAAAGGAAAAGATTAGAAACTGACACAAAGTACAGATCCAATCAAAAACAGTATCGCTAGTAACAACCTTCCAAAAGATACCAGACAACACCTAGTTGTAACAACTGTCAGCATTTATTTTAAATACGGGGTTTGGACAAATGGCTCTTTTACAGTCCCCACTGCAATACACATCAACTAATAAACTAACTTATAAAGTAAATTGCTACCCCAAGCTATAAAGAAGTCAATACATACATACAGGGAAAACACCCTCTCTCCTTTAAGTCATAAAACAACATTTAAGAGAATAAAAAAAACAGTATAAAATAATGATAAAATAATATAAGACATTACTGCATTGGTGTACAAAATGAAAAAATAAGGCACTGACCTGCTGCCACAGTCTCACAAGACCACCAAATGTGTATTAATCCGCCACTGAAAATAGTCCCCAACAAATGCACTGTTTACAGCTGTTTGAGTGACGTTGGCTAAAACCTACAGTGACCAGCTGTTTTGGGGAATTACTGAGCCTTTTTTAAAATGAAGCTATATATATTTGTGAGCTGTTTTTAGAGACTTGCATTGTCAGAGGCAGGGTAGAGAAGTCAGGAAGTATTGTGAGACAGACTAACACATTCTTGGTTTTGATCTTTCCAGGGCATTTTTTGGCAGTAAGAAAGAAAAAGAATAACACCCGCTTTATACTCTAAGTGACATTCTTGGAGAACCACTGATTAGACAAGTGTACTAGACATAACAAGGAGGAATCATTTGTCTTGATACGAGATCATTTATGACAGTTTTGAAAAAAGAGAGCTAATTATAGGATTGCTCTTAATGATGAATCCCCTTCACTGGTGTCTGCCTTGGTAAGGTCTGGCCATTTCAAAATCAGAATCTTTGCTTCCGTTTAGCGACTCTCCATGATCAGAAGATTTCCCATCCTCGTTTACCCAAACAGGTACATAAAGATCGGAGACAAGGAGTGCGAGTACAACCCCAGCTTCCGCCTCATCCTGCACACCAAGCTCGCCAACCCTCACTACCAGCCGGAGCTGCAGGCCCAGTGCACCTTGATAAATTTCACAGTGACCAGAGACGGTCTGGAGGATCAGCTGCTGGCCGCGGTGGTCAGCATGGAGAGGCCTGACCTGGAACAGCTAAAGGTGAGGAAATCAGTGACGGTGGAGAGAAATGCTACCTGATATTTTACAACAAAGAGGGTATTTTGACAGATCGCTGTTCATCTGATATGTCGCAGGAATGTAAAAGTGTATCTGAGGAGACATGAAAGCAATATCTGTCACACTCTTCAGGTGCTATCAGAGAACAAACAACTGTTCCACATTGGAATCTTTTGAGTTTCTCTCCTAACATTTCTTCTGTGCAGGTGTAATTAAAAGAAACAGTCAGAGGAGTCGGGGGCCTCCAGAAGCCGGGCATAGCACTCTCGCTCGTCATTATCCATCTGTAACACATACACGTCGGCAAGAAAACACCGTCTGTCTTTAAACATCACAAGAGGCCTGAGGTCCTGGCTCTTTGATTCCAAAACAATCAGCTGGCTCCTTTGATTAACGGCAAACTAAGTGGATGTGTGATAATTATGGGGCTTTGGGTCTCTCACTTAGGGAGAATGGGACACCTCACGGCTGTGTGTGAATGTGTGTTTGTGTGAATGTGTGTCTGTCTGAATGTGTGTCTGTGTGAGTGTGTCTGAATTTGTCACTGTATGCGCATGGGTGACAATCAGAAAATTAGATTACCAATTTAAATGTGCATTGAATAGAGTTTTTAAATTAGGTGTACCTTCACATCAATTTTGAATCAGTATCACAATTACAGTATTGAACTCGCTGGGGCATTTAGCAGTTAAAGAGACAGATATTTTTTCAAGAGTTGGTAAAGACCAAAAGAGTTAAAGAAAGTGAATATTGGATGCCTGGTGGCCGGAAACATGACACCATATGAAGGATAATTTTTCTCAAATTTTTCTCAAATAAGCAACTGCTAATTAGTTTACCGTATCAAAGTGGTGATTTTTTTTCCAAATTTTGTTTCCACTGCCCCCAAAAAAAGACATGATGATAACTTGCAATTAAAGGAAATCACTATCACTGTTTACCAGTTAGTTGCTAACTTCATTGTTTGCAGTGGGTTTATCACAGCATTTTGCTCCTGTTGAACAGAAACTGAAGTGGTGGGCGTATTTGTGTTCAATTAAGATGGTCACCATTTTTCATACAAACTACTCAATGCTTTATGCATTGATTCAGTAAATCAGTACTGTACAAGACCTACCCAACAAATGGCTTTAAATCTAAAACTGAACTTCAGCAAGTATCAACAATGTTAAATGATGATAGACATTAGCAAAAGATAAAAGTATTTATATTTGAATGTCATGGATTGTTACTCTGTTGCATCTGTGAAGAATCATCCATAAAGGCAATAATCCAATAATCCTAAATCAAAAAATCAAATTAACTTTTGAAGCACTAACAATTTACCATTGTGTCACAGTCACCCTGGGTACTGTTCCTGAGACATTCTTCCATTTATCATGGAGCTCCAGGAGTTGTATAATTGTGTCTTGATGCTATCCTCAAGGGAGTTTCATCTTTTTCTTATCACTTTGGCAGACTCATTTATGTTCACACATCCACATCCGCCTCTCCAAAATCAAAGGAGAGGCGGATACGAAGCGCTTTAAGGTGTATTTTCCTTTTTTAATGTAAATGACTGCCTTTGTTGTGTGGACCTTGGACCCTCAACTGCGAGGAGGGGCGAGCCGCTGTTCCTTTCGGCTGATAAGTGTTGGCGTCATCGGCTGTAGCTTTAAGATGTCACTGCTGGTCAGAGTTAATGGCCGGTTCTGTACGCTGTGTAAGATATAGCAGGTTCCTGGCAGCTGTACGGCTGAGTTTCGAGGAGTAATGAGCAGCAGATAGTTAGGATATCCACAGCATGGTCCACGGTGTGAATGTAAATGTTTGTAATTAAGCGGAAATTCACTTGATCAAAGCTCCAGCGCCTAATGATGCCTCGCGCTCGTCTCATCGACAATCTGCTCTTTTCATGTCAGCTGTTTGAAATGGATTGGCCGGTGGCGCTACTGTACCACAGCAATTAGACAACACATTGACACGCTTCCACTGTTCCTTAAATGCAGCTCTTGTTAGTGGAGGGGGAAAGGGAAAATCATAAATCCCTCTCCGTTCAGAACATGTCTGGCTGACGGCAGCGTCTCGGAGAGATCAGAACGGAAGATAATGTGGGAACTCTGTTAACGGGTCGGGCAGATTTACTCCAACACAATCCCATTTGCATTTTGATGGTTTTCTGGAGGTGTGCTTGTTTGCGTTGGGCCTCTGTTAGGCAGCGCTTTATTCAGACCTGTAGGCTTTCATCCATCAGCATTTTTAATAAAGGGAGAGAGGAGGAGGTAGAAAAAAAAACAAAACGCCAAAATGCCGGAGTTATTTTAAGCCTTTTGTCCCTTCAGCAAAATCCAATGGAGAAGAAGTGAAATGTGATTTAATGAAGCTTGTTTAATTAGCATTTCACTGAGATCGGAGGGTGTGAAAAAAAACAAGATCTGGAACTCACTTATCATTTTAATTAACACTGAAAGTTGAAGGTGGGTGGTGGTGGTGGGGGTGAGTGTCGCTCTGTACACTCCGAACACCCTCCTATCAAAACAGGGCCCGTAGAATGAAGTGCTGAATGGCTTTTTGTTGTCAGTAAACAACCCCAGACCGATAACAATCACCAGACTGATAGCAAAGTGCAAATTGGCTGTACCTGTTTATATTCTCTGAATGACTCTGTGCCATTATACCTTTAATGAGGTTAGCGCTGCCGCTGAGCCGTAAGACGGCGGCCGGGTGAAAGAGCTCTCATTTAACCGAGCCAAAGACGGGCTAAGGAGCTTAAAATGTCAAGTTGCCTTTTTGGAGAGAGCACCCGGGGAATCAGTGTACAACCTTTTACCACAATAACTACCTCAGCCGGTCCTCCCTCTGCGCATACGAGTGTATGTCTACATCCGTGTGTGTGTGTGTGTTTTGCTCCGACACAGTCCTTACCCAGACCGTCGCCGTTAATGAGAACTAAAATGCTCCACTTCCCAAATTACCTTTAACAGGGCTGCTCCGTGGCACTCAGTAATCATTTGCCTAAAAAAATGATAGATGTAATATCTCATTTTAATCCCAATTAGGGTGTTCTGCTGACTGGTTAATTGTTTGTTTTTCCCAAGCAAGGGTAATTACAAGTGCATTGTG